AAAAAAAAAAAAAAAAGAAAAAAAAAAAATCAATGGCACAATTTCACCCTGAATCATTTGCTCTGTTGGTGAAAGTCACAGAGAAAAGTCCTAAAATTATACAATTATAATAATAAATCAATTCAGCATGTCATTTCTGCTTTTCTACATTAATAAATTAACCATGTAACATTGTTCAAAATTATGTCAGTTACGCATATAATAATCTTTTAAATTAATGAAGTGATGAAGCAGTTTGATGACACCCATGATTTACAGGGCTGCTTTTAGCTAATGTTAAAAGCCTTTCATTTAATAAATTGCCCCCTTGAGAAATTACCAAAAATGAATATTTTCTATGCTAAATGTTCCAAGGTTTACACTTTTTCAATATATTAGCAAATGGCAAGGGAGAAGCATTTTTCAAAATATATCTTCTTTTACATATATTTAATTGAAATTAATTAGTATATTACTTTAGAAGGAAATGATCACAGAGAAAGGTGCAGGATCATTTATGAGAGTTTCTTATGGCAATAAACCAGAATTTAAACAATGGAATTAATCATGTCCTTAAAAATTTTTATGATAGATTAGGAATCATTCCAAGCTTTTTGATTAAATAGAAGGACATTCCATACAGACTGGAACGAAAAAGAAAAAAAAATCCAGTTATTCCACTGCAATTAATATTTCCCTGGTTTCATTATGTCAGGATATGTACATGCTGAATATTTACTGAGCTTAAAGCAAGAGTCCAAGCGAGGTTCACAAGATATATTTTGCTTCGCTCTTCCCTGCGCTCGGCACCCTGATGTAATGTATGCACGATGTTATGAATGCTTAATATTTCCCATTTTATACATGTCTTATAAGAAGCGAGCTTTAAAGACGCTTTCTCTTAGGGTTGGTTGGGATTCAAGGAACATAACGTGAAACGGTATAGTATGTCCTATAAAAGAGGTTAAAATGGAGGTTATAATTATGAAAGCTCAATAGATTTGAAAGCCAACACAGTGCCCCCTTGCATGTGATACTATCTCTAGAAAGGGAAAGATTTTTTTATAAAGGGAAGCCTGTAATTGATGCTCTCTGTACTTATTAGGATTTGTTTTAGTAACATCAGGGACTCGTTTTTGTACTACCTCTGAATAAATAATGTGCACAGTAGGTTGGGTCAATTCCTTTTCACTTTGAAATATTTTCAGCAGTTGCACTAAACCCAGGAATAATTCATTGGCTTTTGGTAAGGCAGCTGGATGTATTATGAAAAATAGGTGCGTTAGCTGAGTTACTGGGGGTGTGCGTGAGGGGGTGTCTGTAACAGGGGCCAGCATTGAAAAAGAAGGGACTCTTGGCCTTTGGGGTGGTGGGAGAGTGTTCTCCAGCTCAATCAGGAGCATTTCTCAAGAAATAAACAGGATCGCAGAAAAAGACCTTGTTCCCATGTTTGTATTTTAACGCTCCACGGGTGAAGTCTGCCACATAGCAGAGACTCCTGTGGGAGACCCACATATAATTACCCATGGATAGAGCTTTGCCTCCTGTAAGTAAACCACCATAATGAGCACAGCTCCTCAAATACATATTTATTTTAAAAAATAAGTGAAACAGAACCATCCCAAAAAAGCCTGAAAATTGATTCCAGCGCTGGCTTTGTTTGGCTCCTGCTCCTGGCATTGATTGCGGAGTTTAATATCTCCAGCAAGTCGCTGCCAGGTGCCAAGTTCCAGATCTCTCAAACTGCTGCAGCCCTGCCAGTTACCTATGGTCGGAGAGACATGGTGATGCTTAGCTAATGTTTGGGAAGACCTTTGATATATCCTTGGGTGAAAAGGGCTGCAGAAGGACAAACTAATTATTAAAAGGAATTATTAATGGATTAGTTGTGACTCGTTCTAAAATATTTCTTTGGGTACCCTTTGCAGCAACATCTGAAACTCCTAAGGTTTTTCTCTGGGAGGGTTGGTTGGGTTGGGGGTTTTCTGGTGCAAATGCTCACTGGGGAGGTTTTCTTTGGAGAGCTGCCTCTCGGGCATCTCCTGGTGCTCCTACCCTTGGAAAAAGATCATCAAGGAAGTGCTGTCTGTCTGTCCATCGCCGCCTTCTCGCGCTGGGTAATGAGGGACAGGTTTTTCCTTGAGCTCAAGTTCAGTGTGAAATTCCCCCCGTGAAATTCAGTCTTCAAAGAGAGGCTGGTTTGGTTTGGTTTTAAGAAACAATGTCAATTTTGGCAAAGTAAGGAGAATTTCTGGGATGGTGGAAAATTATCTTTATTGCACATGCTCCTGTGTACGTTTGTCCATCCAGAGATGGAGGGCCTGATCCTGCACTCTCTAAGAGCAGCAGGAGTTTGTCATGAGATCTGAGAAAGCCCAGGGCAAATACGACTAATGATTTGTACTGAGCAAGGGTCAAGACAGTGTCTTCTGCAACATGTGAAGTGTATAAAGACTTGGAGGATCCAATTACTGCCTCCTACTGTGCAATTAGTGTTGGAGACCATCTTGAAAGTGCTACTGACTTTAACTTTTGGGTATTTGCAAAAGCATCTGCTTATGTGAAGCACAGCTCCCAAATAATTTGGCAAAGCAGCAATGTCTGTGTGTAGAAGTGTTACTCCCTGCCCCTGGGCAACCAAGCCATCTGTAAGAGCAGTCCATGTACAAAAAGCCTGGGTCCAAACTTGAGATTTTGCAGGGAAAGGGTTTGCTCCAAGAGATGCTAAATGACCAATGGGTTTGATGTGAGTTCTTGATTTGGCAAACCTTTGAATGTAGTGGAAAAATTAACGTCAATCTAGTTTTTGCTGTGAAACTTCCAGAAGTTTCTATAGATTACTAGTTTGGGGGATTTGTTGAAGGAGTAGCTCACCGTGATTTCTGCAAGAAACTGGACTTCAGCAGCTTCGAAGCTGGAAAACTAGGACTGATAAGAATAGGAATCAGTGACCTTTAATTAAGAGCAGAAATAATGACATTTATTTCTCCTTATTAATAGATTCTTTGGGTCTTGTTCTAAGAGAACAGATGTAGTAGTAATAACAATGAACAGGTAGAGTAAGTTGCAGACATGCAGGAAAGCATGTCTGGCCATCAGAAAAAAATAGGAGTATCTTAATACGTGCTTCTGTTGAGATATACAGGGATTGCATCATCCTGTGTAACAGAATGTATCCAAATGCAGAGATAGGGCCAGAAACCCCATACATTTCTGCCAAGAGAGTTTCTGCCTGAATATCTTTTTGGCAAGGAAGAAATGCATCTCACTCCTCAAGTCCTGGAACAAATTGAAGGGTTGGTCTCTAACAGTAATTCTTCAGATGGGGAAATGACCTCAAACCGCCTCGAAAGACTTGGCAGAGAAGGGTTGAGAGGATGTAGACAAAAAGGAGGAGTCCTTGAACAGGACCGGGGGCTCCCTCCTCCACTGTCGTTTTGGGGTGAAAGCTGTGGGGGCAAAGGGGGCAGCTTCAGCATAAAAAAAACCAGTGCTTTCCACTTTCACCCTTGCTGATTTTGTAGAACCTGCTGCTGCAGGGTCTGCTGTAGCTGCCTCTGTGTCCCGCCACACCCCAGCAAAACCGTCTGTCTTTGAACTTCAGGCAGAAGATACTAGGTCCATATAAGGCTCTTTTGCATCTATAATTTGGCTACGGCTCTATTTATGATCTGTGGAGAGCATGATCTGAGCCTTGCTCCAGGCAGGTGGCAGCTGTGGGACCGTGCTGTTGAGTCTCAGTGTTGGTAGGGCAGAGGCTCCTACACAAAGTGTTACATGGGGGCAGATTTCTCACGTGTTAAGCAGCAGGTGAACCTTTCTCAGTCCTTACTGCATCCTTACCAGCCATAGCGAGGTAGCGGTAGGAGGAAGATCTATTGATTCTCTTGCTTAATTATCAGTAATATCATCTACATGCCTGCATCCTTCCAAAGTTGGTGTCACCCTTCATTTTGTAAACCAACTGGATTGATTTTATTCATGCCTTTTTGTACAAAGAGAGCACCTTTCATTTAAAGTTGTCAGACTTGAGGGTCGGGGAGGGTGGTGGACAAGGCATGGGGTCTTACAGCTCCTTCTTGCAGAAGGGTGAGGTGAGGCATGCAAACAGCTGCGGACTAGGTTTTCACAAGCTGCACAGCCCTGCTGCTCACTTGGGGGACTGGATTTGTCCCCATACACTGTTACTGGCAGTCCACTGGCCCTGTCAGGTCATGGTGCCCCGGTCCTGGGGCTAAGGAGCCTCGTGGAGCATCAGCCCTCTGCACAGGATAGTTTAGCATGCTGAAAAAGTTTGCCTGCCAGTATAATTGACTAAATCAACTAACTTTGTTAAAATAGCAGACAGTCTCACCACTGGTATACCCAGCAGGGGCTATTTGAATTAGCTAAGAAATTAAGTGATGAAAAATGGAACTAAACAACCCATTTATTAAAGAATGGGCCAGGCAATATTTGAGTGAAAGCATCCCTTTCCACATGCTGGGAGAAGGCAGTCGGTGCATGCCACAGCAGTCAGTGGATGAAGACAAGTCAGGAGGAAGAAGAGGCGGGCAGGAAGGCTCCGATGGATACCGTGCTGCCCCTTCTTCTAGCTCCTTGGTGTGCATCATGTCCAAGTCCTGGACGAGAGAAGGGCAGGCACTGAAGGCCACCTCAGGACCTGCAGGAATACAGATTGGACAACAGATGAACGTGCAACGTAAGGCAGGCACAGAGGTACCAGAGGGAAAAAGGCACCAGCTGCAAAAGTAACAATATAAAAAATGTAAAAAAAAAGAGGAAGACTTGAGACCTGGCAGTTTGTTCGCTGAGCGTAGAGCACAGAGGGTGATACCAGGCCTGGTTCTCACCTGCTGATGGGTGTAGAGCAAAGGCTGAGGTATGGTCAGGATCAGACTGGGCTTGCATGGAGGAGAAAAATTCATGGAGCCTTGACTCAACCCTGCTTCATGCTTTGCGCCGTCAGTTCAGCCTTTGCAGAGGTGCCAGTCCATGTGGTTGTGCAATACACTAGAGGGGGCTGAGTTCATCCCAGTAGCTGTCTGTAGTGGCAGTGAGGATTTGCCTGGTGTAAAGGAAGGACACGACAGAAAAAAGTATCACCCAGGGGAGGGGAAAAAAGGAGAAGTCAAAATGGTGGTGGATGCACTATGTGACAAGTGCAAGGATGAGCAGAGAGGACTGTATTTGGAAGCAGTCATCGTGCCCCACAGAAGCAGCATCTCCCATCCTTTAAAAATAATGATAGGAGCAAGTAAGTGCTCTTTAATTAGAAACAATAATAATTATTACTTAGCAGCAGCTTTTTGCCCAAAAAGCCTAAAATTCTTCGATTTTGGATAGAAACTCCTTACCAGGAAATCTGTATTTTTCAAATCCACAGCTAGTGCTGCTGGTTCAGATGTTGGTAGAAAAAAAAGTTTATCGTTGATTGTGGGTGCTGGTTGAGGGTAGGCAGTCAAACATGCAGCTTTAGATAGCTGCAGAGGGTGAAAAATGTTGCGTCTAGACTGCCAGCTCAAATGCCAAGCTGCTGCCTGATGCAGTGAGAATTATGAAGATATATCACGTCGGCTTCAGCTTTTAATGCCTGGAAATGCCAGAAGACCTTGGCAGACCAAGCCACAACGAAGGGGTCAGCGAGACGTAATGAAACATCCATGAAGGAAGAAGCATCCTAGTGTTACACAGACACGTGGGCAGGTTTGCAGGGCAGCCGAGTACTCCGTATCTCACGTTATGTTAGCTGTTTATAAATTATTCCCTAAGTTTTATCACACGTGCACATTCATTTTTAATGTTTAAATACACATTAAGAATAATTTTCACTAAAGGATGATCCTTAATTCCATCAGGAGCAAAGCTAAGGAAATGATACATGCAAATTTGAGCAGGGGTTGGTACCATTAATCCCTGGCTTGTCTTTCTGGAGGGAACTCACCAGCCCAGGTCTGTCGGAGCTTGCAGCCTGGCCAGGAGCCGAGAAGCCTTGGATGAAGCCCTACCTGTGTGCCAGAGGTCCTTAACTCTCTAAACTTGCCGCTCCCATGCCTAAAGGAAAGCGCTCGCGCTCTCCCGCTTTCCCACAAAGACTAAATCTTTCAGTTGCCTCCCACACAAGCCACGGGAAAGGATGGAGCAAAATGCATTTTAATGAGCATTTGAATAATCATCGGGAAGAGTACTTTTCACTGACATAGCACCTTTTGTTCGAGCGATTTATAAACATCCATTAAGCTTGACAACATCCCTGAAGGGTAATTCTTTTTTTATTCTCGGGAAGCGGAGAGCTGGGATTTGCTCAAGGATAGGGCAGGAAACCCGTGGCAGGGCTGGAAATGGAAACCCCGCGTGTGGGATTTCCTCTCCCCCCTCCATAGGGTTTCCTCTCGGCTCGCTAATCGCTAAGCAAGATCTTGATGACCAGATGCTCATAGATAACATAGCTCAAATATTGCTTCCGTTCTGCAAATTACATGCTGGCTTGGTTCAAAGGCCAAATCCTATTCCGCCATCAGCCGGTGGCGGGGATCCCATCGAACATTGGTGGAAGGGGGACCGAGCCGCAAGGGTTTGAAAAACAAAGTGAAATGCTTGAAAACTTGCAGCCACACACATTTGCAGAGAGACGTGTGGTTTCGAGCGTTTTCTCTCGCTTGAGGAAACCTGTGAGGCTTTAAATGAGACTCTTTCTAAAGGGCACATCCAGGCGCTTTATCCAAAACCACTGGCAAGGCATTTCCCTACCAGAGAGCGCGCACGTTCCAGGGGGCAGCAACAATATTTCTTCTCTGACATCACCAGTTAAAAGGATTTATTTTCAGTAAAATAGAGTACTTCAGTTGTGTGATGGGCAAAAAAAGGTACTATATAATTAAGAGTGGGATTAGACAGAAAAATTAGATGTTAGGCAGATAATTAGGGAACTATTATAAGTAGAATGTGCTTTTAAATCCCCTAGTAGCTTCTATTATGAAAGGGATGTCCTCTGATTAACTAATATTTCCTTTAAGTAGGTATTTTTCCTCTTCCTTTTGGAAAGGGAAGCTTGAGTTGAATGACTTCACCTTAAAAAATCACAGTTCACTGGGGTCCGAGTTCTCCTCGTAGCAAGCATTTTGCTCAGGAAAGAAGACCTATATTTGGGGTTGAAAGCGGCAGGGAAGATTTTACCAGTAAGCTTATTAAATCACTTCTCTCCTCTTTTAAATACAGTCTTATTTATAGACAGTATTTAGTAGTCTTTGTATTCAGCCTTTAAGAGAAATTATTGCTGTTAGAGCAGTGATAGCCTTAGATTAAATTTTTATTCATGCAGGTTTTCTACAAACGAAACTGCTGCATATTTCTATGTGAAGTAGAAGGCTGTGATGGTTTTGAAAGGACGTGGAGCTTCGGTGAGAGCTGTCTGACAGCTGCTGTTAATGAACACGAACCAACAAGCCTCTCGGAAGCGGCTTGTCTCTCCCCGGCTCTCCGGCAGAGAGTAGGAAAGGACAGACAGTGGTCCCACAGCTTCCAGCCCATAAATCAGAGCGGCTCTGCTGAAGTCAGTACAATTATAAGCAAGTTAAAACTGGGGGAAGCGAGAGAATAAGCCATCCCATTCTCCCTCACCCGAGCCTTTGCAGGTGCTGGTTTGCAGGGAGCTGCTGCGAGCAAGGGAAAAGTGGAAAAGGGAAATAACTTGATAAAAATGCAGCCTCCCTGCCTTTTTTTTTTTTTTTTTATTAAGCCTACAATTTTAGGAATTGAGAGAGAAGTGAGTACAAAAGTTCAATTTGAAAGCAATGGCCAAATGTTGCCTCCAATTTCTTAAAGCAGGAGGGGAGGGCAGCAGAGGAAACAGCCAAGCGTCCAGGCCACTGAAAGCACTGATGCGTGTTTGGATACTACTGTCATCGGACGAACAAGACTCCTGTTCTTTCACCTAAAAAAAAAATAACCGAAAAGCAGATGGATAGTTGCTTTATACAGAGTCGAGAACCTTGGCATCCATCTGCAGATACAAAAGATGACTTAGTTAAAATAACATTTGCAGTACATCTGATTCCAGCTTACTGGACATATTGTTGAGAGAAACGCTCAGAAAAATGCTTCCAAATAGCCGAATGGTCAGGGAAAGGATGAAAACAAACCCGAATATAGTACACAGGCCCTGAAGAAAAGAGCCCAGGAAAGAGGCAGCCTGCCTGAGGTTGGAGACCCCTGAGCCTGACGTGGGCAATGCTGCCAGAGCAGCGGGAAAGGTGGGAATAAGTGTTTCCAGTGTGGCAAGTGATGCCAGGGAAAGGGTATCCCAACTTACTACTTCTGGAGGGGAAGAGGGGAAGCATCTCTTTGGGATGTCTTTAGGAACTATGGACACCGAGATGATCCCTGCGGTGGCTTCAGGAGCCCCAGAGAGCAGGAGCAGGCTCTTGGCACTGCACTACCGAGTCTTCCTGGACCATCAGTAACGGGGGAGAAGCCAGCAGCAACGAAATGCCCGTGATGGGAGAAGCAGACACAATGTCACCGACTGCTGGTGAGACTGGAGGAGGGACCCGTGGGCAAAGGGGAAACCCATGGAGGCAGAGGCAGCCTGGCGTGGTGCGTACACCGGTTACGCGGCAGAACCGCAGCTCATGCAGCCTGGCAGGGCACCAAGTCAGCCTTTCACTGGCAGATTTCAAAACATCATTCGTCTGTCAGTGCTAGCGCACCCCTGACACTGGCACACTGTGACCCGCCACTAAGAAAAACTTCTGAGAGCTGGGAATCCTCACAGATCCACTTAACCATTTAATGATGAATGAGTCAGATCCTCTGCTATATTTTTTGGCCCTTCTCCATGGATCTGACAGACTGGTGGGCACCAGCCCCTTGCCAGGGGTCAAAGGGACCAGACGTTAGTGGTTCTGATAGCAAAGGCTCCCAGTGTACAGTGTTTTTGCTGAAGGAAACAGCGGTGTCAACGAAACCATCCAGGACCATGTTGCTGAGCCCTAACTACAACTGTGCAGACTCTGGAAGGAGAAATACCAAGCTGAACTGCAGAGATGCTGATGCCAGCGTGGACCGGGGTCATCCAATGTCTCCTGACTTCCCAGGCTGGATACTGACATCCAAGTCAGGAGAGAAAACACCCAGATCAAAAAGAGTGAATTCAGTGATTCAAAGCCATGGCCTCCTGCCCTATATTTGCAGGATGAGGGACACAGAGAAACGTGAACCGGTTTTCCTTAATCCGTTGAAAAATCTGGGCTTCTCATTCCCACAGAAAAGAGCCATTTGGCCTAATGATACCTTCCAGCTCTGCAGTGCCACTCAGCCAAGATGCTGAAGCACTTTAGATGACTTAATTCATTCTCTCAGCAAATAGCTGAGCCTCTGCACAGCAAAGTGCTCGTGGTAACAGTACAACACAATGGGGAAAACACAGTATAGAAAAATATGATGGTTTTATGTCTTTTATGTCTTATACTGCAAACACATAAAAACAATTAGGGTTTGGAGAATATTTTTTAAAAGCAAAGAGAATGATTGGCAAGGCAGAGAAAATAAATATTATCCCCCTGAGAGGGTTAGGGACATATTATTTTTCCAATTTTACAGAAGAGAAATGCCAGATCAAAATTACTTTCCCAAGATCACACAGGGTGATCTTGCCACCCTTTCTATTGAGTAGCTCTTACTCAAGGGTTTGTCTGTCTTCGTGCCCAGAGACCTCCGTGTTTTAGAGACTTGTAAAGCCCACAATCTGGTGGTGTAAATTTACGGTGTATTAGCTACTCTATATTTATTCCCCACATATATATCTTTTCAAAGTAAGCTACCTCACCCAAAGGCACTTTCAGAAGTGTAAGGCCAGCGGTAATGCTGCTAAAAGAATTAACACTGTCCCACATAATTAGCGGTAATTAGTACTGGTCAGGACAGGAGTTAATGCACGCTGGCGGACGTAAATTCTGCCTTTGTGTCCCCATAACGACATGAAACCAGCCTGGGAATAAGATCCCACCGGGTGTGAAAGTGAAGGGACCAGGCTGGTTATCTGATGCCTCATGATGCCTGAGCTCAAATTCTCTCTGTTCCAGACCTTTCTTCCCATCGCAAAGCCCTGCACCCTCTTTTTTGGCAAGGTAACAGTTCTGTTAGATGGTAAATCCCAGAGGTTTTTGATAACCCATCGTATCTGTGGGTCTTGGTGGGGGTGGGGGGAAAACCTGGGCATCGAAACCAGAGGCTGTGGTGATACAAAAAAATACCTTCAGGGAGTGTTTCATAGCTTCTCACTATGGGGTTAACGGTTTGTGGCAGCAAAACTGAATTACAGGCTCGACAGCAAAGAAAACCAATCAAAAGAGGAAAATATCGAAAGAAATTCAAGCTGTCCCCCTCCTGTGGGTGAGAAGCCGGTGGGGCGATGGGTGGCTTTGAGTAGGGAGGAGGGTGCGTGCCGGGGCACAGCTGGCGCATGTGTGCGAGTGCCAGTGCACATCTGGTGTGTGCATGGATTCGGGATGCCGGAGCAAACTCTTTGGGAAATGGGTGGGAAGCAAAGAACTGAGCACATAGAGAACTTCCCTAATGCTTCAAACATATTTTATTTCAAACTGTGTTTTCTACAACTTGTCCGAGGTCAGACCTGTCCTCCTTGTGGTCGGGCTTGAGGTTTTAAAGAAAAGATGGATTATACAAAGTTGCCTGGCTGCAAACACCCTCCTTCCTTCCTTCCTTTGAAGAGGATTTGCCGAAACATAGCCCTCAACAGTTATAAATACTTGAAAGGGGAAAACTTAGTGAAGTGTATGGTAACCTTCCGGGCTGAAACCCCTCGTTTTTACTCCTAGACAACTGCTGTGCTTATCGAGTTCAGGAAAACAACTTAGCAAACACAAGCAGAGCCTCACAATATAATCACAGAGAAAAATGAACTTTTCTAACACAGAGACCGCCCACTTCAGCTCATCGGAACAGCAACTGAAAGCCAGGTTTTCTCGGGGTTTGAAGGACGTACAGGCTGAATTGCCGTAGGTGCTGGGATTGAGTCTGATTTCCAGCATCGCTGAGATCCATCTGCTTCTACCGTCTTCACCCAGGCCTGCTGGAGCTGAACACCATTCATAATCAGGGCCCAGCTGGTCTCTAGAAACAGGCCTTTTCCAAGCAGGAAAGCCATTTGAAGTGTAATTTTAAATTAACTTTTTAAAATACAGAGGTAAATCCCTGTATGGACACTTACTTTGATTTAAACTGATCTTACATTGATTTTGCTTAGTTGATGATGGGGGATTCATTTGAGCTAAACAAGTAGAAACTGCTCATAAATTGAAATTAAATGTTTTTTCTTCTGGGCTTTGCCTCATTTTAGGATGATCTTTAAGGACCTGACTGAAGTCAAAGCCGGGATATTTTTATGTCGGCTAGTTTTGGCTAGAAACCTGCAGGGCTGTTTGTGCCGGCTTGTCAGGCGCTTGTAAATGGATTTCATTTTGATCAAAGCAAGCGGAGGCGATGTGACTCTCAGCCCGCTGGAGAGGGACCCCCGAGGTGACGTCAGCCAAGGGAAGAGTCACCGGGTGCAGCCAACGTGTCGCAGAAGAACTTCAAAGCAGGATCCGTAGGCAACCTTGGCTAGGAGCAGGGAATGGATCCAAGGGAAAACATGAGGCAGGCAGGCTTGGCTTCCTAAACAAAATCTGTATTAAGAGACAGGCAGGTAAGAAGAGCTTTAGAAAAAGCACTGAAAGGAGGGAATGGAATAAACTACATGCCCAGAGCAGCAAGTGGTCCTGTGGTGGGGTTTTCTTAGGAGGTCTCTTACTTGAAACTCTGTGGTTTTTAATATGCCTATGAGGTAAAGTTCATCTAAGAGTTAGTGGCTGTTTGTGATGGTCTCATCGTGTGTTTGGAGGAACACACAAACCAACCATGCAGTGAAGAAGCCATCAAAGGAGGTGAGCCAGGAGCCACCCTCTGTGGAGACAAAGCACAGGAAGACCAAGCAAGGAATGTGTGTCAAGCCCCATTTTATGTTGATGCCCACACTGTTGTCTTTTGAGAATGGCTTTGGGAGGATTCTTGACCTGAGTCAAGAAGGCAAGAGATCCTTTCAGGTGGTCCCTCGTGGAGGAGCCTGGCCAAACATCCCAATGGCCAGAAGAAGAAATGAGGCAGTTATCTGCCTCCCGACCCAACAAGGCCAACGAAGGTGCTATAAGGAGGTCTAGTGGAAATTGGTGCCAATGGATCTCAGCCTACATGAAGCTGAGTGACATCTCAGTAAGGAAATAGTGGGGATAACTGCAGCTCTTCTGGAAAACCATGAAGAGAACTGCAAACACATGCAGCTCTCATAAACCCTTCCAGTCCGGAGGCACACAGAAAGGTAAAGCATATTGCTCCCAAGAGTTTGTCATCCCAGTAGGGAGGAGGGAGGAGGAGGTGGCATTCCCAGGCACAGAAACTCGGAACAGAAAGCCACCAGCCACCCAAGTTCAGTGAGGCAAAGAAGTTATAGACCCAACATGTGCTTCTAATACAGAAACTACAGCAGAAGCTAGAGTTACTGCAAGACTGAGTGTACTAATGAATCAAATTGTCTCTACACGACTTCAAAGGCTTTGGGAAGAAGCAAGAATAACTAGAAATGTAACACTAATGGCAAGGACAATGTGGCTGGCAGTGGTGAAACCCGGTGAGGGTCTCTTCATCAACAGAGAGGCGTAGTGTGTATGGAAGAGGCTGGGAAAAAATAATCTGGTGGTGCTGTACAGCAAAGGAGAAGGAGCAGCAAGCGGGCTCAAGTTTTGTGATAATAAGAGCGAGGCAGAATGGGCTTGGTGGAAGAACAGGGTGAGCAGTATAGTAATAAAATCTGAAAAGAGGACCAAAGTAAGAAGCATTTCAAATACTAGCAAGGACAGGAAGATAATAGAAAGGGTTACAAATGATCAGCAATGCAGACGACTGTAATAAACTATAATAAACTTCAACTTGGAAACATAAAAGGAGAAATATGATCTAGGATGATATGGGAAAAATAATTTAAAGCAAGATATTTGGGGGGTGGGGGAGCGGGAGATCTGGGCAAGGTCCAGAGTTACTATTTATGAGTTAATGAAGAGCGGGGTGGGAACAGCTTGTCTTCAAGCAGAGGCATCTCGCCTCTGTTCCTCATGCCACCGCATCGTTTCTCGGTGAGTCCCTTGAAAGCCTTCCATGCTTCAAGTGCTCTGGCCGTGGAATGAGGATTTCCCGTCTTGCACACATGCTCGTAAGATGTTCAGCTGCTACAGTGGCACCCCCGATGCCGCAAGCCATCACACACCATTTTGCTGAGCAGTCCCATTTCAGGGTGTGCACTCAAGGAAGATCAAATTAAAAGGTATGGTAGAAATGGAGAGGGGGACCGAGGTGATAGCCAGGCCGGCACATCTCTGTGGTTCACGTTTATCTGATGGGGGGTAAGTGCATCTCAGAAAACTTGGCTCTGTTCTGCTCCTGTTTGCATCCAGAGAGGCATAAAAGCAGTGTTTTGAGGGAAGAAGAGGGGTGAAGTGAAGAATTCAGTGTCCCCAAAAATCCCCTGGGAACTGCTTGGGTGGGTAGAGCCTGCTGACATGCTTTTGTTGGCTCCGCAGCGGAGAGGTTCAAAGCTACTTGGGTCATGTCTAAGCACGCTACAGTGTATATCCCACTTCAGAAAGGTCCAGCCCTTCTCAAAAGGTGACTTAGGCTCTTAATCCCGGTGACTTTCAACGAGGCTCGAGCCGGTAGGGAACTCCCGAAGTGTGGCTTACTGCCCGCGTTTGCTAAAGACGGTTTATATCTCTGGCAGGAATTAGGTGCCAAATTTTGTGTGGACTGTGGTCACTGTAGTGTTGAGAGAAGCAGCAAAATATCTTTGGAAATTTGAACTGAAAGGTTGAATGGTGGGATAGTCCCCCTCAAAGAATGCTGAGAGCCCTCCTAAAATACAGAGTATTTGAATGATTCAAAGTCTAGTAAATGCAAGGAAATAATGTTGCAGTTGAGGAGAGCAGAGCTGATTGCTCTATGAGATGTTTCTCTGGTTCCATGTAAAGAATACTCCCTTTCCAGTGTTTGGGCACCTATCTGATTTCTCGTCTTGTTCCTACGAAGAAAGTTGAGGATAAGAGCAGGAGAGCATTTTCTTTAAAGTGCAGTTACAGCTTCTCAAGCAAAGCTAACATCCTCAAGGTAAAAAAAAGTGTTCAGTGGGACAAGCTGAAAGAAAATGCTCTCTTGATGCATCTCGGTGGGTTCTTCTGGCTGGGGTTTCCGTTGGACAGCTGCAGATCCCTGCAGATCTTTTCTATGAACCCTTTAAACAAGCCACAGAAAATGACCGTAAGCGTCACATCATTGTGCAGGATGTTACGAATCCCCAGGCCATCGGCGTTTCCCATCGGAAACCAGTGCGTGGGCCTGGCTCGGTCTCCCCGGCCCCTCCCTGCAGCCCCGCCAGGCCGGTGGGGAGCAGCTGGGGTCCAAGGCACGATGCGGGGCTGCCCCCAGCCTGGCTGTGGGGCTGGGGAGGAGGCAATGCTGCTGCTGCCATGTGGGAGGCCCAGGGCTCGGGAGGCAGCTCCTGGGGCTGGGGCCCCTCCGAGGGGACGCTCGCTCTGCTCGGAGGAAAGTGCAGCTTTCACCGCCTCCCTCCCCGAC